AAGCATCCGCAAGGACTCTGGCAGGTCAAAGTACCACAGCCGCATGGGCCATGTAGAATTAGGAGGATCACCAAAGAGCCCTTCTTCCCAATCCAGCGGGGCAGACAAGGCAGGGGTAACAGAAGGATGGAAAAGGATCAGGCTGTACAGATCCCAAGGAGCTACCCTGACATAATTCAGACTGAATCACCCTCCAGACAGAAGATCCAGTGTTGTAGGGACGACCATATCATTCAGAAATCCAGAATGCAGAGTAGGGAACCAGATAACATCAGACTCAAAACTTCCAGTCGAATCGCCGTCAGGCAGCTCTAGGGCTGTAGAAGTAAGACAGTGGAAGGGATGAAACTGCTCTGGAGAAGGGGACACTCTGCTTGAGCTGGGCCTAGGACCTGCCCCAGTACTCCACTCGATTATTCAGATCTAACGGCAACTTTTGAAGATTTTGCTTCTAAGCAAAACACCTAAAGGTCTGGACCAAATGTAGAAAACTAGTCTGTGAGCCAGGACAGGAGGGAACATTCGCTGGCAGTCAAACTAAAAGGTAGGGCCACAAACTGGCAGCATCATAGACCCACAGCAAAGTGTGGTCAACATAGATGTGCTGGACAGATGGAGGAAGGCAAGTACACCACCTTGATGAACACAGAAGGAAAAAAGACTGATAAAGGGAATCCATGACAAACCAGATGGATACTATGCAGATATTCTAGGGCTAATGAAAGGCATAACAAAAAGGACTGGCCTGCTGGCTAGGACGTAGAGGTTTAGGGTCTGTACAAAGGTGGATCCAGGCTTAAGTCTGGCCTCATGGGAAGAACCCTTGGAGAAACAAAAGGAACTCTTCTGGGCCTCAAAAAGGAGGATATATTTTCTAGAGGACCATGGTTCCTTTGCTGGGGAATAAGTACTCCTACACCCCATGACATTGTCAAAGAGGGAGACCAAGGGAGCTCCAAAGGACACTGTCCCTCAAAGAGTATCTGCAGAATTGCGTGTACAGGTCTGTTCCATGGCACAAAACTCTAAAGCCAATGCTACATGCAAGTTTACTGATACAGGAATGATGATGGAAACTGAAATACCAACTAACCCATTTATGCAAGCGTGCAGAGATGACAGTAGGGCTTACAAAACTCAATACATCAAGTTAGGGAAGCTATATCTGCATTCATGTGACCAGACCATCCCCCAATGTGTGGCCATCTAGCCTCAAAGCCACAGAAAAAAAAACAAGTTCCAGCAATGATCATGGAATCTAGGAGCACTGGTGCAGCTGCCCAAGGAATTTCATAGCACTATTCAAGTCAGAACAGGCAATCACGAAATAAAGGAGTTGTACATCCACAATACACATCCAGAGTATTGTGCATACTCTGGTATACTGAAGTATGATTACAGCATTTCAGAAGTGTCAAAGACTTTTATTGACAATTACATTAAGTTTATGCAAAGAGTCAATATTTGTAGTGTTGACCCTTCTTATTGAAGACTTCTGCAATTCACCCTGGCATGCTGTCAATCAACTTCCAGGCCACATCCTGACTGGTGGCAGCCCATTCTTGCATAATCAATGCTTGGAGTTTGTCAGAATTTGTGGGGTTTTTTGTTCACCCGCCTCGAGGATTGAGCACAAGTCCTGAACGAGATTAAGGTCTGGGGAGTTTCCTGGCCATGAACCCAAAATTTCGATGTTTTGTTCCCCAAGCCACTTAGTTATCACTTTTGCCTTATGGTAAGGTGCTCCATCATGCTGGAAAAGGCATTGTTCGTCACCAAAAACTGTTCTTTAACAGTTGAGAGAAGTTGCTCTTGGGAGGATGTTTTTGTACCATTCTTTATTCATGGCTGTGTTCTTAGGCAAAATTGTGAGTGAGCCCACTCCCTTGGCTGAGAAGCAACCCCACTCATGAATGGTCTCAGGATGCTTTACTGTTGGCATGACCTTTTCTTCTCCGGACAAGAAGGTATTTTACAGATGCCCCAATCGGAAAAAGGGATTCATCAGAAAAAATGACTTTACCCCAGTCCTCAGCAGTCCAGTCCCTTTTGCAGAATATCAGTCTGCCCCTGATGTTTTTCCTGGAGAGAAGTGGCTTCTTTGCTGCCCTTCTCGACACCAGACCATCCTCCAAAAATCTTGACCGCACTGTGCGTGCAGATGCATTCACACCTACCTGCTGCCAATCCTGAGCAAATTCTGCACTAGTGGTGCCTCGATCCCGCAGCTGAATCAACTTTAGGAGACGGTCCTTGCACTTGCTGGACTTTCCTGGATGCCCTGAAGCCTTCTTCACAATTGAACCTCTCTCCTTGAAGTTCTTGATGATCCGATTAAAAAGGTTGATTTAGGTGCAATCTTAGTAGCAGCAATATCCGTGCCTGTGAATCCCTTTCTGTGCAGACCAATGATGACTGCACGTGTTTCCTTGCAGGTAACAGAGGAAGAACAATGATTTCAAGCACCACCCTCATTTTAAAGCTTCCAGTCTGTTATTCTAACTCAATCAGCATAACAGACTGGTCTCCAGCCTTGTCCTCGTCAACACTGATACCTGTGTGAATGAGAGAATCACTGGCATGTCAGCTGGTCCTTTTGTGGCGGTGCTGAAATGCAGTGGAAATGTTTTTTGGGGGATTATTTTCATGGCAAAGAGGGACTTTGCAATTGATCTGATCACTCTTCATAACATTCTGGAGTATATGCAAATTGCCATCATACAAACTGAAGCAGCAGACTTTGTGAAAATGTATATTTGGGTAATTCTCAAAACTTTTGGCCAGGACTGTAAGGCTACCCTGTCCACGGGGTGACAATGCTGCGGTGTGATTTCACTGCAGAGCAATAAGTGTCGCCATCCTGTTAAATGAAGAGGGGAAAACTTACAGACCTGCTGGCAGGATCTACAGGTAAAAAACTAGGGGACTCCGAAAAATAAAAACGTCTGATTTACTGCTAGTGACAGACTTCATCATAGATGTCATTTTTTATTTTGCCAATAGATCTACTTTAAAGCAGAATTGGGATTGGTAGCCATGGCTTTCAGAACACATCTGCATACGTTCTAGTAGGGAAGATAATAAAAGCCTGCTAATGACGTGAAAAATAAAAAACGTACACATGCTTCGCTTCACTAAAAAAAAAAACGAAAAAGAAACATCTTTATTTTACAAATTTAAAAACATAAATAATATTTACACGTGTTTAAACTCCAGCTTACGACAATGGACGCGGGTTACAAAACTTTGGCTGGCTAAAACCGCAACTGTAGCAGCGAACAGTATCTTTCCAATGCTTTGGCCATTCTGAATTAATATTATTATTTTATATTAAACAAGGACATCACGAGGAGTGGGGGCAGTGCTTGTTCTCATCCTTGTGGCTTACAAGTTGATACACATATAAAAATAGAACACAATTTACAGTAAAAAAAAAAAAAAATAAAGGTTTTAACGCCATATTCCTGAGACTTAAAATGGCAGAGGGGAGACCTTCCGACCTCAAACGTCTTATCCATACAATAAAAAAAGAAAGATAGTTCTGAAGATTGAATTTCATGGCCTACAATAAATAGAGTTCCGTTACATAATAGATAGGCTTCTTTTCTAAATAAATTAGAGTTCATTGCAATTTGCGACTGGCAGACATGGCGTGTCCTTCCACTTTAAACTGGAACACAATAATTCAATGTAAAAGGTAATATACCTTCCATAAAAACTGCACTCAAAGCTAAATCGTAAGTCTACCCAAAACTTTTTTCATTGTAACTGGAGTGGAGTCCGACTTCACATTGGGTCTTTACTCTCACAAAAGGAGATCTCATCAGATTCCTTTAATGGCCATGGCAAAGAGAGTTGGGCTTCTCAGCCAAGCAACCACTGTGCCTCCAAATATTCCTATGCATGCAGAATAAATGAGAACACAGGATCACTAGAGTGTCCTTCACAGGAATAGAAGGAAAACCCCAGTTAATAATAACTTACATGAAATGACTGTCTCTTCTCCCAAAAACAAATTCAAGCAGCTGTATTCTATAACAGAAGGAGAAATACTCAGCTCTCTGGCAAATAGTGAGCCACTTTATCGCTCTCTTTTAGAGCTAGCATCACCCCAGTGGTTGGTCCCACCAGCTGCTACGTTGCTACCGAACTCAACGGTCATCTGGGGGAACCATGGTAGCCAGCGAGGGACATGCTATCAGAAACACCCGGAAGTGTCAGATACTAGCAATGCTTCTAGCTGTGCAAGAGAGCAAAGAATGAACTCACCACCTCCCAGAGAGGTAAGTACTCTGTTCAATTCGCAGGTACAGCTGCCTAATATATGTTAGAGAAGTGACAGGGTCCCTTTAAAAAGCTGCCTTTCCAGGATGAATGTCAACAGACTTTTTTCCCACAATTCGTGAATAAACTGTCGATATGATAAGAGTCCAGAAAATAGGACAGAAGTAATAGAAAAAAGGTACAAATTCTATTTTGCTCTTAGAAACCAATTATATTTGTTTTCTATACCTAGCCTGAAATTCATTCCAATATATAATTCTGGTTTCAATGTCTCCTTTCCTCCAGTTTATAGATCAGATTCAATACTTTCTGAATGAAGAGCTTACGATGTTAGGCCTGCAGAAATACTGGTCTGTCTAAGCCTGCTTTAGCCTGGCAGTGCTGGTATAGGACTTGTGTTACTAAAGGAGCTTGGTTTTGGTGGCACCTATGAGGACAAGCACTGGCCTGGTCCAGGACTGATGTGTCAGTCTACAGCGTGTAAACCATCCGCGCCGAAAGCAATGGAAAAATACACAACTGGAGCCGAATGCTAAGGTGTCACTAGAGGTCGGACCCCATGTGGCTCGTCATTGGTAGAAAACTGGATGGTCTAGAAGCGGTTTGGCTGTCTTTTTTCTCTCCATAAGATATTCATCTCTTGGCGTAAAAAATTTAAAACAAAGAAAAAGTGACATGTTGGACAGAAAGTTCATACAAGCAGTCACTCCTATTGATTTTTTTTTTACTTTTCAGCTGGTTCCAAGAGTTGCTATTTGGAAGCTGTGCGGAGGATACGGTGGAGAGGATCAGACGTGGAGAATGGAAGTCAGATGACCCCATCATGGCCATCTCATTGTTGTCCATTGTTGATGAGAGACATGATGCTTATTTTTTCTTCTGCCTCCTCGTTGGATTTTGGAGCCACTCCTGTCCCTAGCCCATAGAGGCGTCCACAGTACTTGGCATCATCGATGTGGTCCTCAAAAAACAGCTGTTAGGGAAAAAGACAACAGGAGAATGATTCCTTTACTAACAGCTTGAAGAAAAAGGAATGATTCTGGAATTTTCTAAACAATGGGCATTATGTATTAACAAACAGAGGACCAATGGTGACCTAGACAATCCCTGCAGGTCTTTAACCACTTCCGGCCCGCAATACGTCTATAGATGGCGGCCTGTTACAAGTGGTTAAAACAAGAACACGGCTGTTCTTGGTACGGCTTTTAACAGTAGGCGATTGCTGTTAATGTACAAGTGATCGAACGTCTGTATAGCCGCCGTATCGTTTGTACCGTGCGGTGGCGGCGCGCCCCCCTCCCCCCCGCTGTTGTCTTCCCTGGGCACCACTGTCCCCGTGCGGCGCCCGGGAGCGGCTTGGCGGGTCTCCCTGCAACAATCGGAGAGAGATTCAGCGGCTCCTCCGATCACTGGACCCGGAAGTGATGTGTATTACATCACTTCCGGTGTCACTGTACACAGTCTCCGGCTCTTAGAGCCAGGAGATGAAGCTGGGGAAGCAGATCTCTGCTTCCTCAGCTTCATTGGGGTCCCTAGGTGACATCAGGGGTCTGAAAGACCCGTCTCCATGAAGGAGGACCTATCACACCCTATCTGCTATTACATAGGGGACTCGTTAGCCCCCTATGTGATTGCAATAGGGTTAGTGTAGAAAAAATAAAGTGTTTAAAAATTAAAGGCACATAGAAGAAAAATTTAAAAAATGGCCAAAAATGTTTTTACATCCCCCGCCCCCCACGTGCACGCACATACACGCGACGGTGCGCCGACGTGCGAAAACGACAATTGCGCTACACATGTTACATATGGCCACGAATGTCGGAGTGAGAGCAATAACTGTGGGGCCATCAAATCACTGTTAGCACTAAACTGATGAACGTTAAAAGCGTTTTAAGTGTTCCCTATGGGAAATTTGGGGTATTGACTTTTTTTGCAGCTTCACGGGCGAACGCAATTTTAAGGCTTGAGATGTTTGGTATCCATTTACCCGGCGTGATCCCATCTTTCATATTTTACCAAAAAAATTGGGTATATTATGTTTCTGAGCACTACATTTTAATTTAGTTTATTTTTTCCTAAAAATACTGGTTTGATAAACATTTGCGCAAAAACCGTGCAAAATAAAAAATTGCAACTAGTATTTTTTTTTTTTCTACAGGGCCTCTGCTTACAGAGCATATATCATTGTTTGGGGGTCTGAAGCTGTTTTCTAGCCAAAAATTTATATTTTATCATCATGTGTGTGCAAATTAGTAAGAAAATGCCCCGGACAGCAAGTGGTTAAATAAGGCCAAAGGGTGCACCTAGTAAGTTCTACAACACCCCCAGGCCCAGATGGGTGTGGGCACTGGGACACGTGCTCAGTTTGACATTCAAGGTCCTTGTATGTGTGCAGAAGTGGCTAACAGTCCTTTTCCAAATTTCAGATTCTAAGCCCGGCTACAACTACCGCAGGGGGAAAAGCAGATTAAGGAGATCATGCAAATTCAGGGCTCCAACTTTTCTGGAATAACTAGTCTCTCCTGTTTTGCAACACTTTTGTACACGGCTCATGATAAGACTGCAGGAATATCTCCCATGTACAATCTCCAACTAGGACTAAGCCTGGGTTCACAACTAGGCGTATTGCAAAAGCGCGTCTGTCGCGCGGTTTTTTTTACCGCGATTCGCGGTAAAAAAGACACGCGACCGTCGCGCGATTCCAAAGGCTACTTGGCTGTATTCCAATGGAAAACGCCCTACAAAACGGCCCAAAGTAGTGCCTGTACCTTTTCAGGCGTGGGCCGTTTTGTAGCGCGTTCGGGACGGGCGGAAATACGTTGAGGTGGGAACGAGTCCATTGACTCCAATGCAATTTATATTTTTGAGCGTTTTGTAGAGCGCTCTTCGAGCGTAGAACGCGCTACAAAACGTTCAGGTGTGAACGAGGGCTTATTGTTGGGAATATCTCTGGAGTGTTGAAAGGACTTCATCCCATTATCCAACAGACAACGGAGTTTCACACAATGGTGAAACCAGACAACAATAAAGCCAAGTTTCCATGACAGCAACGGGTCATGAGGCATCATCCAGTGGTCTGTAGTACCAGGACATACCGCTATTTTTCATGCAACATGCCCAAAATTATTTTTTTTAAACTACGTGCAATAACTAGGGCTTCATCACCGCCTAGGGTTACCCCTAAAAAGCTCAATGATTCTATTGACCTACTAAGGGTCAGACTAAAGCTGGCCATACACCTATAGATTATCTGCAGATTTTCTATGGTCAGATGGAAAACTGGAACAGATTGGAACTAAACTGTGTGGATGGAGGAACCTCCCACTGGGCCAAGCTTCAGTATCTTGCTAGTCGGCCCTGCTGGCTGTCAAAACACCTGAACAATGCCTGCATCCAATCAGATTGCTCAGGTATTTTGACAGCCAGCGGGACCAACTAGCAAGATACTGAAGCTTGACCCAGTGGGAGGTTCCTCCATCCACACAGTTTAGTGTAGATGGAGAAATCTGTTGCACTTTTTCCATCTGACCATAGGCTGATAGAAAATAATCTACAGAAAACCTATAGCTATATGGCCAGCTTAAGTCTAGGCACTGGTGAAGACTGTACTCTAATTCACCATGTTCATAGATTGGCATAGTACCAAATAGTGTTACATATAGCGGAAGTGTTCAAGTGTTGTATTGCATGGACAAATTCTGATGCGGCTTAGTACATTAAGTCAGATTCATATGCAGGAGCTCACCTCTTTCATCCGGAAGAAAGCCATACCGGTCAGCAGAGAGTCCGAACCAGCCTGATGCTGCCTACCAATCCTCTGCAAATCTAGCTGATCAGCCACCTCTTGCAGACCACCCTGTGTGAGAAAGATTTCCGTTACAGACACAATACAAAAGAACTCCAGTTGAAAATGCTTTTCAAAAGACAACAGTAAAAAAAAATATCTGAAAAAGATTCTGGTTGCCATGGGCTACAAGATCAGGGAACATTTACATATTTTCCCATCACAAGGCTTTGTATGAGCCTCATATACCATTTTATTCATCTGAACCTCAGACAAAACTTTCTTCCTGTTTATGGATAGAACAGATGAAGGATAGAAGCCCTGTCTGATATAATTGTTGTTTGTGATATTTTCCCTCACGTCCTGTCCACATGGCAGGATGTGACAGGATAGCATCAGTACAGAACTAAAGGCAAATCTCAACAATGGGGACACAGGCGGTAGTAAAGACCAGACGAAAGTTGGGTGTTTCCTTCTGTGCGAGTAATAACACATTGGGGGTCTGCCTGATCTCTGACATTCTTTCTGAACCTCGTTACATCCCCAATGACATTCAAGGAATACGTTAAACAAACAACTTTAGGCAAAGTACACATATCAAGAGTACACAGTGTCAAACAGTGCATTCTACTACAATCCAATCAACCTCGGGCCTAGAGAGAGAGACTTGTGAAGCTCCAACCACAAGGCCACCTTCTGACAGACTGTTGGCAACAGTATTTAACTCTATTACTAGAGATGTAATCTCAGGAGCAACGTATTGTGAGTTAGACTCACTGCCATACAAGTGCCTGTAACTTTTCAGCCTGCCCCCTCTGCCCAGGTAGCAGAAGGAACATACTACAATCAGACTATTATTGGAACACAATGACAACCTGTAACTTTTACATTCAGAACAGTATTGCCCGGATTAGGTTTTCAAAAGTTAACCCCAATGACACTGCACCTCTCATAAAGCGGACCTTTACCCAGGGCTCACAATTTCAAGTCCTAAGCTACTAGCCAGGCCTTAAAAGTTATTTGCCAACAATTCCATTCCACTTGGTCAAACAAAAAATGTCGTGGATTATGGTCCATGAGAAACTTCACAGCATCCTCCAAGATACTAAAAAAAGCTTTGAATTGACCTGGACCCCCTGGTTGTTATATACAGGGGTGCTGGAAACCGGGTAATTTTCATTGAACAATTTATATGGAATTCTTCTCTGGGGACTATGTTTAATGTTTAAGTAGATGTTGGGCTATTTGATCGGGGATGGAGCTACTCTTTTCGGACTCTTAAGCTGTTCTGCGTCCTTTAGCATCTATTTCCTTTCCCTTTATGGTCTGTCTTTTCTTTTTCATTATGCTCGCACACGTGAGCTGTTTAGTGCATTGATGTTGGACAGAAAGTCTTCTATTTATATAGATATGGAGGAGATCATAACAAATGTTTGCTGCAGACATAGGCAGATCCCTATGCCAGATATTCCTCTCACTTGTTTTTGCTGATGGGGGATAAATTGGCAAGAACAGGTGGATAGATATGATCTGTTTTACAGAACTATTATATATTGTGTGTATGGCTTCTAGTCATCCCCCCCTACTACTTGACTATGCTAATGTGGAAGAATCTGAAATGCAATTGTATGCTATACTGATTGTGCATCATGTGCTATTTTATTGTTTTATTCTACTTTGGAAAATTAATAAAATACTTTGAAAGGTAAAAAGTTATTTGCCACCAGTTGCCCCACTTAACCCCTACCCCGCCCCGGCCTTAACTCCGCCAGGTCAACGGTGTGACGCAGAGTACAAAGATCAGTAACAACGCACAGTACAGAAGTCAGTGGTGCAATGCAGAATACAGAAGTCAGCAACGCGACGCGCAGTGTGGAAGTCAGCGACGCGCCTCAGAGGCCCGGGGGGCAATTGCCACCCTGCCCCCGGGCCTAGTCCGCCCCTGGGTCAGACTAATCCAGCACATTATTAATAAGAGTGCCCCACTCAATTTGACCACAAGCGAGGGGCATACTGAGTGGAACAATTCAGATTAATAACGTCCAAAAGATGTGGACTGGGAGGGGGGCTCTTTAATACTGCTCTGTTCACATTGCTGATCGTTCCCTCTCCCTCCTCCTGACCGCTGCAGCTTCAGAGCGGCCTGGAGGAGAGAAGAGGGAGTGATAACAGGTGTGATCAGAGCCACCTCTCCGAGTGCCCGCTTCGTGGAGCTGAAGCGGCCGGGAGGGAGAGAGAGGGATCGCAGAGAGCTAGTGCGGGCTCTGGATGGGACACTATCGCCGCGGCGATCGCTCGCTTCTGTTCTCTCTTCTTCTTCTTGGCCTTTGTAGCTGCAGCAATCGAGAAATAGAAGAGAGAACAGAAGCGAGCGATCGCCGCGGCGGTAGTGTCCCATCCCTGGTCCCGCCGGCGGCGCACCCCATCGCTGACATTCCACTCGCCAATTGCGAGCGGAAATTTTGAGGCCTGCTTTACCCATATATTTAAAATGACAACAAACACACCTTATAAATGTTTAGTAATGGCAATCTAGAATCACATACTTCTAGATAATTGCCGGCTTTGTACTCTTTGCATACCTTATTTTTCTTTCCCAGTCTGACAGGGGCCATGTTTACTAAGGGCAGATTATTAGCTCTCCTTTTACTTCCTGGCACATGTGACCATGTACATCATCTCAGGGAAGGAAAATGCCTTTCTCTGAGATCTCATGAGACTACAGATGAGATTTCCCAGCAATGCTCTGCTGATGACAAGGTAATCCCAGTGTGCATTTATTTAGCAAACTGAAGTATTTTTGCCCTTTAATAGCAGGAAGTGAATGCTCTGCAAGTGTAATTCTAAATCCCAGCATTTTACACCTGACATGTCTCTTATCATTAATCGTCACGCATAGAGGGATGCATTGGTAGAATTTGATTTCTCAGTGTAAAGGCTTTAAAACCACCAAGTTGTAATCCATTAGAACAACCTTCTAACCAACCTAATCCTAAAAACACGAGGCTGCATGAATACAAATTGGAGAACAGGAAAGAGGAGATGATGGTGCAACCTATCTGCTATGGGGTACGCCTTTATTCTATTACCACTGGGTTTTTGGTCAGTACAAAGACTACATTTCCTCACCTTCAGATTTTTGCAGCTCTTCATCAGATATTTTACATCGTAGATTGATGGAAAGAATAGATTCAGAATATGGAAGAATTCATGTTCCTCTTCAGGGAGACGAGAGTCTGTTAGAAGCTTCACCATATATCCAAAATCATAGCCACTGAGAGAACAAAAAAAAATGAAAAGACATTAAAGCCCAAGCCCAGCCAAAAATGTTGAATTAGGTTTTAAAAAAAATACTAATAAATAATAACACTAAATAATTATTAGTAATAGTATCATTATTATGATGATGTTTTGGATTGACGAGGTTCTCAGGTTTTACATTCTGTCAGTGTTCCTGCTGGAGAGCTTTTCTCTCAAGTGCTGTTCAGAAAGCAGAAAACCTGACAAGTCCTCAACCTCCCTCACTCTACAAGAAATAGTTTTTCATCAAATAGGATGAGCTTGGATAGACAAACATGATTGATATACACTGAGTGGCCAGATTATTATGACCACCCCATCAGTACTTCGTTGGGCCACCTTTTGCATTCAATACTGCAGCGATTCTTCTTGGCATTGACTCCACGAGATGTTGAAAGGTGATGCAAGGAATCTGACGCCATGCCTGATGAATAGCACTGTCCAGTTATGTGAGATTTGATGGTTGAGGAACCAGCTGCCTGATAGCATTTGTGAGACGAAGTTGAAAGAGCCAAGTTAGATTGAGATCTGGCGATTGTGGGGGCCACCTAAGCAAGGTAAAATCTCCCTCGTGTTCCAACAAGCATTGTCTTGTTGGAAGAAACCATCTCCATTGGGATACGCCATCAACATGATAGGATGAACTAGATCAGCAACGATACTTTGGTATGTTGTGCTATTCAGACGTTGTTCCACACCAATTAAAGGGCCCAAATCATAACACTGCCCCCACCAGCATGAAGCGTTGTACTCATGCATGTGGGGTGCATGCTTTCATGCTGTTCCCGCCAAATTCTCACTCTGCCATCTGCATGATGCCACTGGAAACGTGATTCATCGGACCACATGACTTTTTTCCGATGCTCGACTGTCCAATCCCTGTGTTCCTGTGCGAATTGGAGACTTTATCTTGTTAACCGCAGCAAAGGTGTTCAAACCGGCCTTCGGCTTCCATATCCTATACGATGCAGTGTACGGCGAACAGTGCGTTCAGAGATCATTTGAGAGGATCCCTATTAAGATCTGCAGTAATTTCATGCACTGTTGCCTAGAGCTGCAGCTAACGATTATTTTCAAAATCGATTAGTTAGCCGATTATTAAGTTTGGTTAATCGGATAAAAAAGAAAATAAATTTTAAAAAATGGCTCCAGTGATGGACTACTAGTTTGTATTGAGATTGCAGTCCATCACAGGAGCAAGCTTGGAGCGGTGGAAGTAAAAAAGAAAAAACTCTCCGTTCTGCCCTAACATTGACTAGTCGCTGACGGCCACAATTCGTACGTTCAGACCCAGATTTTCGGCTGACAGTCCAGTCTTTAAACACTTTAACAACAGCTGCTCTTGAACATTTAATGAATTCTACTGTTTTGCCGATACTCGCACCATGGCTCTGAGCGCCAACAATCATCCCACGTTCAAAGGCTGTTAAATCTCGTAGTTTACCCATATCTTCAGAATAAAAATCACTTCTACTGTCGTGGTAAACAACCTGCTTCCCTATTTATAATGGTCTGGCCCTCTAGCAACTTCAGCGCAAAAATTATAGCTAATTTGCCTACAAACGTCAGGTGGTCATAATAATCTGGCCACTCAGTGTATATCAAGTAGGAAGTGAAGGAAATCTCCCAAAAAGGGATGGAGAAACAGTAGTAAGAAAAAGACAAGAAGAAGACGCACATCAATTAACAATTACTTCTGGACAAAAGAGCAATGTTGGATGCTACATTTTAAAACATAAAGGTAATCTATACGAAAACACTTTACATTCCTGCTGAGAAATATTAGTGACAGTCTCTGCAAGCAGGACAGCACTCTCTTTAATACACGGCTTACCTGTGGAATGAAAGCCACTTGACGTTATCACACAGAACCACCCCAGAGGTCATGAGCAGCTCAGCAAAGGTCAGGGTGTCAATGCCTTCCTCCTCATGCTTCTGAAACTGGAGGCCAGAATTTGCCAACAGATCGATTGAGTCTTGAGAATACATATCTTCTCTGCAAGATCAAAAAGAAGCGCAAAATCACAAATAAAGCTTCCACAAAACCAAGAGACCATTGGGCAGGGAGCTGCCTTCAGTTAGAACTAATGTTTTTTGTTTTGTAGCATACAGAAACCGTAACTGAAAAGCTTGCTGGGGAGAAATTTAAAAAAAAAACATTTTTGAGACTAAATTTGTTGGGTGTGACCAGTCTAACCCTGAGATAACCACTTTCTGCTTTGCTGCTGTCAACAAAAAGAGGTTTATTTGAGAAGGGCTGCTAGCCCGAGTAACTGCGTCCCTCTGAAAGCCAACAGTTACATCATCAAACAGGAAAAATCCACAACAATTTGAAGGGTTATTCACTAAAGGGTGAAGAGTTTGGAGAAGGCAGGAGAAGTGAACAATCTAGGACAATACAGCCGATTTGGAAAAATTCTCCAATTCAGCTCACTTTCCAGTTCAGATATGTTGTCCTAGATCAGGGGTCTCAAAACTCCGGCCCTCCAGCTGTGGTGAAACTACAAATCCCATTATGCATCTCTCTTCGGGAGTCATGTCTGCGGCTGTGAGAATCTTGCAATGCCTCATGGGATTTGTAGTTCCACCACAGCTGGAGGGCCAGAGGTTTGAGAGCCCTGTTCTAGATTGTTCCCTTCCCCTGCCTTCTCCAAACTCTTCACCCTTTTGTTGAATAAACCTGTAGGTTTCAAAATATATTGAAATAATTTAAATTTGGTGCAATTTACGATCACATTTCTGACTGGCGACTTCAGATTCCAGATTACAAAACCCCGTCATTAAAAAGGGGCATTTCATCCAATAATTTGATTTTAAATTATGATGGGAAGAGAAAGTTTTGTCAGATTTATATTTCTATCCCCTAACCTAAAGTGAACTTGCACCCAGACCATGCACACTATTGTATGTACACATTTTGAACAAGCAGTAAGAACACTTTTGAACAAGTCCTTATTTACCTCTGTAGCTATGGGCATTGTGGAGACATTCATTTTCAAAATTCCCAACATAGGCACGGAAATCTCAGTTTTCTTTCTATGAAGAGCAGATCTTGGCAGCCTGCCAGCCCTCTAATGTAAACATACAGTAGGTGGTTCTAAGCTGTTATAAACTGACTGAAAGATCACCGAGGATATTTGAGAATTAAAATGACACTAAACTCAGGAGTCAAATCTTAAAAATGTATCCAAGTATCTTGTTAACAAAAATGTATCTTATTTGTGTATCACTCGGCTGTAGATCCTCAAATCATCTCTGTGTTGGTGCTGACACTGTCCTTCCTTCTGGGGGGTGGCTATTTTTATTCCACATGATCCCTGTGTGTGTTGTAAAGTCGCCAAGGCTCCAAGCTCACTCCTATCATGGACTACAAGCTCAATAGAAATTGCTAAACCAGAAGGTGAGATTGTAGTCCATCACGGGAGCTAGCTTGGAGCAGTGGCTACATTATAACACACAGGGACCATGGGGAACAAAAGTAGCTACTAGGGGGTCAACCAATATGGATTTTTCAGAACCGATACGAATTATGGGCGACCTATATCAGGTACCGATATTCTGTTTACATCCAGCTGTGCCAGCAGCTGAATGTCAACAGCAAGCAGTCACTATTGGTCTACCCCGACCAACCCCCCCACCCCATTCATCTGCCAGGTGCAGGATTCCGCAGCCAGGAGCTGAATGTAAACAGCAGTGAGACCTTAAGAAATATCATTAATGGGGACCACAATATTAGGAACAAGATGTTTTCACCAAAAACTGTATTGATGACATGAGGACACAACAAGAGGTTTAAAGGGAGGCGTTTTAATCTCAGACTTCGCAAGGGGTTTTTTTTTACTGTGCGAGTAAAAAAATTTGCAATTCCCTTCCACAGTCAGTATCTGCTGATGGTATTAATAAATTCAAGAAACATTTAGATGAGTTTCTTAAGCCAATAAATATACAAATAGGAATGCACCGATATATCGGCGGCCAAAACACATTGGGCGAAAGCTGCAATTTTGGCATAATGTTGAAAGTGCCATCTTCTGGCCGATACAGCGGCGCATCCCTGTTTTCTCCCCTCCCCGCTGATCTGTGCCCCAGCGGGAAGGAGAGAAACTGTTACAGGAGGCCGAGCGCTGCGGGAGGAGAGCACTGTAAGCGGCCGGCATCTCTCCTCCCACACCACTCAGCCTCCTGTCACAGATCAGAGGAGAGCAGTGTGGGCGGAGACAGCTCCACTCGCTCAGCCTCCTGTGACAGCTGTCAGGAAGGAGAGCGTGATCGCTGAGTGTTTGTACATAATTGAGGATATGGTATGTTTATTATAGCCTTAATTATGAATGAATGGGAAGTGATCTACATCACCTCCTGTACATTCATAATTGTAGTTATAGTAAACATACTCTGTCCTCATGTTATGAACAGGAACACTCAGAGGATTCCTGTTCATTGCTAACAGAGGCTGCAGAGAAAGAGATTGAGGACTCTGTGTCCTCAATCTCTTTTTCTATTTTAAAAAGGGAAATATCAGGGGTCTGTTTAGACCCCTAATATTTCCTCTAAAAATAAAATATTTAAAACATTTTAAAGTTAAAATAAAAAACAACATTGTCGGTTTCGGCCTGACATTTTTGTTTTTGTTTTAATTTCGGTTTTGAAATTTTCATTTCGTTGCACTATATATATTTATTTATTTATTTATTACAGACACACGTTGCAGTACATGGACCTTTATTCAACTTTACCTATGTTACTATGTTAATTTGAAATAGCCAATAGCAGGTGTGCTATTGCTCCCCCTGCTATCTGCTGTATTTTTTGTATTCTGACAGAATGCCAGAACAGAGCCAGCAGCTTATTGGCTGCCAGCTCTGTTCCTACATAGATTGATGCCGGCCAGACAGCAGCACCCATACCGCCAATTCAGTCCGGTTCCTCAAGAACCGGCTGAAATTCGAACAGTGTTTATTATCGACAATAATTTGTCAATTTAACCAATACCGATAATTTTAAAAAAGTGGGAATATCAGTCACGATTATCGGTAGATCAGATAACCGGTCGACCCCTAGTAGCCACCCTCCACAAGGAAGGACAGTGTCAGAACCCAGTCAGAGGTAATTTGAGGATCTACAGCCGAGTGATACACAAATAAGATACATCTTTGTGAATACTTAAGGTCCTTAATGCATTTTAACTATTAATCTTGAGTTTAGTGTCACTTTAATTTTACTTCACAGTACAAGAAGCTAGAAAGACGATTGAGGGCTTGTCTTTAAAAAGGAGAACTATGGAGGTGAGTGAAAAATCACTCAGCCTCATAGTTCGAGCCGACATGTGACAATAAAACTGTCACGGGTCGGCTGAATAGATCGGGAAGTGACTGAACACGTACCTTCGCTCACTTCTCGATCATCTCCCCGCAGAGAGCAGTGACTGTCATTCACTGCTTCCTGCAGGGATTCCCCCCTCCCCTGTCTGATCCTCCAGCGCTGACTGGAGGAACGAACGGGGGAGGGGGGCGGGTACAGCTGGCCCTGCCTCTAGATCGGCAGAGCCAGCTGTCAATCATGCAGCTGGGTGGATCTTGACAGTAATGTCGGGATCCGTCCCGGCTGCGGCAATCACAGTATACTAGTTTAGCTAGTATACCGACCTCAGTATACTAGTATAGCTAGCCCTTCCATGCGCACCTTGCGTTCAAAACCAGCTTTTAAAGTATGAGTGCGTTTGCCATTTGTTTTACTCGTAATTTTACAGCACACATGAAAGTGATCACTTCCACAAGAGAACCAACAGTTCACTAAGAAAGTCTAACTAACTGACTCTCTTCCCCCCATGTAATCGTTTTAAAGAGAGAAAGACATTTGTATTCCAAATCAGGAGAGCAGCCTGGGCTACCTCCATGGATATAATAGCGTCAGTGAGCGATGGATCATATTCACAGGATTACCAGGTGAAAATAGGGGGGGGGGGGGGGGGGGCAAAAAAAAAAAAACAAGAAGGGAGCTAAAAAAAAGAAAACCAATGCAGACATTACATAACATCCAGAAGAAGAAAGATCTGCAAAAGATTGCATTTCAAACCCTTCTTGCTTCATCTCACAGAAAAGTATGGATTCCCCCCCTAAATAATTCAGACCATGTTTAAGAAAGAAAAAGAAAAAATTTAAGACTTACGTGAGGTTAAACTTGAAATTAAATTGCCATGTGTTGATGCCAATAGGGTACTCTCCTTTCTCATTCATGAAGGTAAGGCCCAGCTGTATAATTTTAAGTAGATCCACATTGCAGCGTAAAAGCTGGTATTGGTAGTCTATCGTGCTTCGAAATTCCCCGATTGGCCTTACAACCACCCCAGGAAACTCTGTATCCTGCAAAAACAAAAAGCAAGCAGAGACTGAACAAACAGATTTCTTGCAACTTGCTATGAAACTTTACAATATGATCTTTATAAAACAACCACAAAAATTGAAGAAGAAAAAAAAAAAAAAAAAAAAAAAAAAAAAACACAAAAAAACCCCCCCACCAAACCAATAACAGTCCATTCCACCAGATAAGAATAAGCATAAAAACAAAAAATAGTTCAGCATTAAGCAAAGGACTTATACCAACCTGTAGATTACTCCCCTTGCTAACAGCAACTAACAAACTCCCAAGGTCCTATAAAACTAGGTAATGGAAGGGACAGGAGAAGACAATGTTGAGCAGGACAGGAGAAGGCAAACTTAGTATGACAAGAAAAAAAAGTGGGCAAGATCCAAAACACCTCCTCAGCCTGACGAGCTGCAATCTGTCATAAGGATCCTTCAAAAGACAGGATTGAAGGAATTTTGATACCAGAGCTGGCAGTCCAGCCCGACAAACTGCATTCTGTCGTGTGGATCCTTCAAAAGACGGGACTAAAGAGATTCTGACACCAAAACCAGTAGACCAGGGAAAACCTGGTTCTTAATGGTAGATTTGGTTTGCCTAGAGACTGGATTGACTTGTCACATGATGATAGAATGTTGCGTTGTAGGGGTCTGAAGTGAAACATAGCAAATGGATCTGCCTGGAAAGAGGCTACCATTAGACCTGGGACTCTACTGCAAAAGCAGAGTCAGACAGTTCCTGGACTGGAGAGTTTGAATCTGAGATGGAATATCGAGATTTTCTCCTGTGGTATAAACATTCTGGCATGAGCGGTTTCTAGGACTAGACTAGGGCTGCAACCAAGTAATCGATTAATCAATAATCAGAATAGTTGTCAACTATTCTCATTATCGATTAGTTGGTTGGATCCCCTAGCTCTCTTCTCCATGCTGAGAGGAGGGCACAGCAAGCAGTGAGCGGGTGCAATAGCCAGCCTGCTATTGGCTATTGCAATTCGAAATGGCCAATAGCAGGCTGGCTATTGCACTAGCCCACTACCTGCAGTATTTACATTCAGCTGCCCTATGCAGAATCTTGCCACTGACACCTGTCATTCCCTGACTGAAGCTATTTTAACAATACAATAATTTTTTTTTAAAATAACAATAAAAATGTTATATATATCTGTATATCTATATATCTATATAGATATATAGATATAATATAGGGGAAGGTCTAGAGGACCTAGGAAACCAAGTGAGGGACTTTTGCCTCCTTAAAGAGATTAATAAAAAACACGGATATATGAAAGTCCATAACTACACCTTATTCATACAGGAATGTGTCCCCTTCCTCTATCCATGGTAAATTACAGAGACTTCCTATACCAATCACCAATTGATAGATAGTATCCATCAGACATCGGGATACCTATACAAGGAGTTGCCCTACTTGATCTATTCTGTCCACACTCCAAACCATCGTTTGTCAAGGGGTTAGCACTGATTATTATCAGGTGCTTCATTTGGGAGTATTCCCTCGTTTCTACAGGGATTAAGCTTGGTCGCCGTATGTGTGGGGACCCTAGGGTGTATGAATGAGTGTTTGAGTGTCACAAACAACGTTGTTTCTTTTATTGTGCAGTAAGAAGCGGAAGTGTTGTTGCAAAGAAACTGATGTTTTGTAAAACATAATAAAGCCAGCCTATATTTTTATAAGATTTAATGGTCTCGGTCTGTTTAAGCAACCACTTTCTGTGATCCTCACTTGGAACACTCCCCTATCTTTCTGCTTACCTAACCCTGGTTGCATGACCTTAGAGGACCAAATATAGAGAGCATTTCAAGGGATTTATATAGTATATCGGAGCTCCAGGGGAAAATACAAATTTTTTTCTTTAAGCCCAAACACTAACCTCCACTCTGCTGCATGCTCACTTTGTCCTATGCCAAGAGAGTCTCTGCACTAATAATAAGCAGTCCTGCTCCAACAGAAACGCCAGAATGCATTCCAAAAAAAGCAACTCTGTATAGTTGTGGAAAAAAAACCAAGCTGATCCTTCATGTGACCTAAAGCCATGGCAAAGATTACATAGCTTTTTATTCCCAAAGGCATTGTGGGTGTTCTGCATCATTAAAAACTGAACAGAATCTACTAATCTAAGCAGACTGTCCGTAGACGTGAAGTGAGATGAAAGGATCAGCAAAGCTAAATTATTGTATAGCATGTAACAATCAAACATGGCTGCTCTCTTGCATATATTATTATTATATAGGATTTATATAGTGCCAACAGTTTGTGCAGCTCTTTACGATATAAGGAAGACATTACAATCACAATACAATTCAAGACAAGATGGTAAGGAGGGCCCTGCCCCTGAGGGCTTACAATCTAAAATTACAAATTATGCACCAAAACAACATTACCTCATACTAAGAAGATTATTTACCCCAAGCTAGTCTCATTTACACGTTGATTTAAAAAAAGAAAAGAATACACAGGGGGGAATTTATCAAAACTGAAGCAGACTAAATCTGGAGCAGATTTGCACTGCAACCAATCAGCTTATATCTCTCATTTTCAAATCTCAACTGAGCAAACTAAAGAGAGAAGCTGATTGGTTGCCATGGGCAACTGCTCCACATTCTGTCTGCTCCAGTTTTGGTAAATTCCCCCCATTGCCTGTAAGGTAAGCCGATCGCGTAGAGAAAGAACTGCACTCACCATTGCAATGTATCCATAGGTGCGAACAAGCTCTCTGATCTTACGCATTTCCTCCTCCAGGTTGATTGCCCATACCTCACATATAACCTGGCTATTGTCCACCACAGCGGCTGGCATTGTTAGGGACTGATGCACACTGGCTGCAGGTATAAACAGAGGCTGGAGAGGCCTTTCCCTGAAGGATAATCACACCTATGTGGGAGAAAGAATCTCTTTATTGCTGTGCACAGAAAGCAATTAAAAATACATAAAGAAAAAGGACTTCATAGCCCGGAAGCCTTTAAAAACACTGGAGCTCTACGATGCCATCTTGGTATATTTACTGTTCTTAAAAAGTTTGATGCTGATCTAAGTCCAAGAACAAAAATATAATACATTGCAGCTTAGCAGTCCTTAGATGTGGTGGCTGCGTTAGTTGTATTTTTACAGGCATGTTCCCTTTATTGTGTGCCTGGTGATCCTGCCAGAAACACATTTCCTGCCCAGGGGTGAGAGCGCTTACTCACTGAACTGTACCTATGGAGGATCAGCATTGCTGCACACCTGACTTGGACTACAAACTCCTCCTGCTCATCTCCATAACACAGCTGAGCAGTGTTTTGTAGTTCACAGAAGATGGCTGGAAATGCTGATCACATTGTTCAGGATATCAGTTCACTAAACAGAATCTTACAATGGAATTCTGGTACAATAAATAGGTTTCTTTCGATAGTTGAAAATAATTTGTTTAGCCTAAAAAAAGCAAACTAATGCTGCCACCAATATATCACATTTTTGTTCTTGGGTTCAGATATTCTTCAACGCAGGTGTACATAAATGCATACTACATTCAGGAGTCAGCAGGATTTTTTTAGGAGCCAGCTCCATTAGGACTGCAACTAACGATTATGATGTAATACCATCTTTTATTTAGAAAGAATTATACAAATGGAATGTTACAAGCAAAGTTTACTTCAGAATAAACCTGCATGCACATTTTTTGCACTGGAATGCAAGGCATTGAGGTTATGTGCGTTCAAGTCAGGGGTGTATCTACTGCAAGGCAAACTAGGCATTTGCCTGGGGCGGCCCTTTCCAGGGGGGCGGCAGAAAATGCCACCCCAAACCAATGAGGCGGACAGAGCCAGACTTATGACAGAGCCGGACTTGCACTTTCCCAGTGGTCCGAGGCTGGGCATCACAGAATCAGGCAGTGGTGGCTGCCTAATGAGGCAAACTAGGCGGCCGCAAGGCCATAAGAGCGGCTGCCTAATTAGAGAACTGCCCGGTGGAGGGGAGGGTCCAGTGAGATGCGGTCCAGCTGGCTTTGTACAGGGGGGGTGGAAAAGAAGCAGCGGGTGGCTTGGGGCTAGCCATAGCATGTGATTTGATGGTGGGATGTCCCAGAAGCAGACTAAGGACTGCAATGTATCTTGTTGGTACTGATGGCACTTCAAGCTGCAGGTAAGAGAGCAGCACATGTATGCCGCGAAAGGGACTATGCACAGTCCTCCTGAGACCCTGCACAGCCCACCATAGACCCCACCATAAACCCTGCACAGCTCTCCTGAGACCCCGTGTGCGCTAAATGTCCTAAACAGGAAGGGGTGGGGCAAATTTAGATTAAGGAGGGTGCCCGGGTCTAGTCTTGCCTAGGGCAGCACAAAACCAAAATACACCGCTGGTTCCAGTGCAGGCGATCACACTATGGGCGGGAGGCGCGTTTGGGGTGCCATTGAAATGAATGGCACCACAACACGCCTCCTGCAGCAGAATTTGTCAGGCCAAAACCAAAAATTACCTTTCCCACTTTTTTTTTTTTAAATAATTGTATGTATTATATTAGACATTGAAATTAGTTTCATGGATTTCAAATAATATGAATTGTAAAACGCCAAAATAATAAAATAGCCAAACTTATATTTAAAATACATAAAAGCCCGGTCATCAGTTTAGAGTTAGCCATGAATATTGTCCGGAAAATGATTTCTCTCAATCCGGCTCACGCGGCGATACCCGACATGCGCAGCGCATTCGTTGCTTTCATACATCGGTGCACCCAACCTGTGTTTCCATTAGTATGGGAACGTTTGCAGGGTTGGGGGACTTTTTAGGGGGTATTTTTAATTGTATTTAACTTTTTATTTATTACATTTTTTTTTCTTTTAAGGTCATTGCCATCACATACGTGATAGCACATTTGAGATGACAGGTTCTCTTTAATGTGACATTATGGGGTCTATTAGACCCCATAGTGTCACCTTTCCACTTCACTGGGGAATGACAGCTGCCTGCTGAGGCAGCTGAATGTAAAAACAGCATGTAGTGGCTGGGAGCAATAGCCAGCCTTCCATTGGCTATTTAAAATCACAATAGCAGGCTGGCTATTGCACCCGCCCACTGCCTGCTGTCAATCAGCAGAGAAGGGAACTGAAGGAGAAAGTTCTCCTTCAGGTCCTCCTCTGCCGATTGACAGCAGGCAGTGGGCGGGTGCAATAGCCAGCCTGCTATTGGCTACTGCAATTTAAAATGGCAAATAGGAGGCTGACTATTGCTCTCTGACTGGAAGTTCCAGTATCTGGGTAAGTATTGGAGCATTTGGGCGAGTACGAGTACATGCCCAAATACTCGGTATCAGCACCAATTCCAGTATTGGTGGATCCCTAGTTGTTGTAAAATATAAAATGTTAAACAGATATTAAGCTCACCTCTCCTGCAACTGGCTCCACTGATCTTTGCTCTGCTGAAGTGTTACCATTTTTAGCATTGAACACTTGCGGGGATGTGTCCAATGCCTGTCCCCTATCCGCTGTATCCTGCAGCAATGAAGGGGGTCAGAGACCAGAACCACACCGCACAGAGGGAACACAGGCATCCAACACACATGGCAGTGTCAAATGCTGAAGATTCTGACTGAGGCTGTGCTGCTTTATGGGAGCAAAGATCAGTGGCGCAGACTGCTGCAGAAGTAGTCCGCCTCTTTTATTTGTATGCAGGGAACTGTTTAACCACTTCATGACCAGGTGTTTAGACCCCCCTTCCTGGCCAGGCCATTTTTCAGTATTCAGCGCTGCGGTACTTTGACTGACAAGTTTCTGTAACTTTAAAGCAACACTTTAATACAGCGGTTCTCAACCTTTGTAACCTCAGGGCCCACATTTGTCCTTGGTCACTAAGTCGTACTGCAATGGAATGCTCGGCATTCGGGTCAGGCGATCAGACTGTGGGTGGGAGGTTCGTTTGGGGTGTCATTCAAATTAATGGCAACGCACCTTCCACACCAGAACACGCAGTGTTAAAGTGATAAAGTCTAAAAGGTTTTTAAGCTGTCAAGTGCTGATTAAATCACATACAATGGATCCTGCTCTTTGATGTTTAAAAGTTTTAGTTTCCTGCAGAATCAGCTGGTCCCATCAGCACTGGTCCTAATATCCTGTTGTAGGGTGTCTCCTTTCCCTTGCAGGGTCCTAAGGAGCCACCCTTGTGTGCGTTAGTCAGCTGTGTGTGTCTCCACAGACACAGCAAGTCATTCCCCTCCTCCCTTATCATTGCTAATAGATGGGCTGCTGCTGGGGACTGCTCTGTCCCTTGTGATCTTATACTGGACAGGACGTTTAGGGAAGCCGAGCTGAGAGAGTTGGAGCTGTTCAGAAACATGATGAATGTAAGTGTTTGGGTAAAATTGTAAAGAAATACTTTGCTGGGCAATGTATATTTGTTTGATTTGAATTCAGAAAGTTAGATACTACTCTCCGTTTTGGATGGAGGTTCTAGTCCTTCCCCAGTATCAAAAAGTTTTTGGATGGACATTCATTTTCAGAAATATATAAAGACAGTTTTGGGTAGAAATGTGAAGGGTTAAAGTCAGTCAGGTTTTGTTTTCTGAGTAGATTCACCCGATGACCATTTTCCCCCACACAGACAGTGTTGGACGATTCAAACTTGTATAGCCGTTTCAGAACAGGAAGCGATGGGAAAACTTCCATGGGGGAAGGGGTATCTGTTCAACTGACAGCTGTGCAAGAAAAGATTCCCTCTCACTTCCTGTTGAGTATACAGGCCAGGAAGTGAAATCTTCCCAATTGGAGACAGATGGCAAAAAAATAAAATGGGCTTTACCCTTCCCTATATTATTTAACACCAAGGAAAGTTTGGCCTTTAGGCATCCTCTAATCTTTAGGGCCACATTTTACAATATTTGATCTATAGGTCCCCCCTGGATTGTACAAGACATCCTACAAGAACCTGGATAGCATGAAAACCTGCTCATTTGTAACAAGCATGCTTAATGCTCAGACCCAATGATTTCCAGGGACACATCTGAAGGACCTGGAGCTGTCCCTGGAAGTCAGGACTATATGGCAGGCTTGTCAGGCACTGGATCTCTGCAGTCATCCAGCTGCTGCGGAAGTATACACAACAGGGCATGCTGGTACTTGTACTTCCCTCACTATCGAAGGGCCACTGTTCGCCAGGCCAGCTCCCCGTCTGCTAAAACCAAAGGCCTGACAACCCCAAACCGCCGGAACTCACCTCCCGGGATCTGCTGTCCCGAACCACCGCGCGCGCACACAGAAGTCCTTCCTTCCTCACAGATGTGTAGGATACGCAGCGAACTCTCTATGGTACAGCCGACCGCTCTAGCCACCCGTCTCTATGGTACGGGAGGACTAGGCCGCGCGCAGTGCCGCGAGTTAAGAAAAAAAAAAAAAAACTGCTTGCGGCAGGAATGTAGAACTAGTACGCATGCGTACTATGGTAAGCTCGGAAAGTTTTACTGCGCATGCGCGGCCTGGCAACTGTGCGGCGCTTTTGCTAAGTTTGTTAGTTTTGTGGTGACGGGTGAGCTGTTTGTGCTTTATGGCACTGCTGAAACAAGTGGAGGTTATTGGCAGAAATGGTAATCAATCCCTGCCTCATGAATAGAAAGGTCAGCGGCTTATCAAGGTCGAACTCCAAGCAAAAAGCTAAATACAGGGATCCCAACCTGAAGAAAGCAATTTCAGGGAGGTGCCCTTCTCATTTCAGGGAGGTGCCCTCTGCGCCTCTCCCCCATCTGCGGGGGAGGGGAGGGGACCCTCCTGAAATTATGGCAGATAGCACGGGAAGCAATAGCTTCTTCGCTATCTGCTGGTTTTTTTTGTATTCCGACAGCTGCTGCCGTCAGAATATTAATTTTTTTTAAAAAGCATAGGAATGTTTAGCTAGATTGCTATTGGCTACTTCAATTTGCAATATCCAATAGCAAGCTGGCTATTGAACCTGCCCTCTGCTGCTGTCAATCACATGTTGAGGACCTGATGGAGAACTTCAGATCCTCCTGATTGACAGCAGCAATGGGCGGGTGCAATAGCTAGTCCGGGAGAGGTGGGATGTCTATAAATACATACAAGGGGGTTATTTTACCTGTCAAAGGATAACTATTTCTGTCCATCTAGTTATCAGATTTGCACAGCTTTGGCGGGGCAAAAGACCTGATTTTTTTTCTGCTGCTGTTCAGTGACACAGGTCTCGTCCCTTCAGGAGCATGTGATTGGACAGTGAAAGTAGAAACAGCAGACAGATGTCACTCTGCTCTCACCTTCTATCAGCGTGCTTCTGCACTATAGCACAACTGATTTGCTCATTGTGCTAATTCTCCCACTCGGCCCAAAGACTGCAAGAGGCCTCTTAAAATATACAGTATCTCACCGAAGTGAGTACAACCCTCAAATTTTTGTAAATATTTTATTATATAATTTCATGTGACGACACTGAAGAAATGACACTTTGCTTCAATGTAAAGTAGTGAGTGTACAGCTTGTATATCAGTGTACATTTGCTGTCCCCTCAAAATAACTCAACACACAGCCATTAATGTCTAAACCGCTGGCAACAAAAGTGAGTACACCCCTAAGTGAAAATGTCCAAATTGGGCCCAATTAGCCATTTTCTCTCCCCGGTGTCATGTGACTTGCTAGTGTTACAAGGTCTCAGGTGTGAATGGGGAGCAGGTGTGTTAAATTTGGTGTTATCGCTTTCACTCTCTCATAATGGTCACTGGAAGTTCAACATGGCACCTCATGGCAAGGAACTCTCTGAGGATCTGAAAAAAAGAATTGTTGCTCTACATAAAGATGGCCTAGGCTATAAGAAGATTGCCAAAACCCTGAAACTGAGCTGCAGCACGGTGGCCAAGACCATACAGAGGTTTAACAGGACAGGTTCCACTCAGAACAGTCCTCGCCATGGTCGACCAAAGAAGTTGAGTGCAGGTGCTCAGCGTCATATCCAGAGGTTGTCTTTGGGAAATATACGCATGAGTGCTGCCAGCATTGCTGCAGAGGTTATATGGGTGGGGGGGTCAACCTGTCAGTGCTCAGACCATATGCCGCACACTGCATCAAATTGGTCTGCATGGCTGTCGTCCCAGAAGGAAGCCGCTTTTAAAGGAGAACTATGAGGTGAGTGCTTTTCACTCACCTCATAGTTCTAGCCGACCTGTGACAATGAGACTGTCACAGGTCGGCTCAGTAGATCGGGAGGTGAGCCAACACATACCGGGTTCGCTCAGCTCTCGATCCTGTCACTGCTCTCTGCCGTGACAGGGGAGGGGCTGGATTCCCCCCTCCCCGCTCCGATCCGCCAGCGCTGACTGGCGGAACAGACAGGGGAGGGAGCGGGCACAGCTGGCTCTGCCTCTAGATAGGCAGAGCCAGCTGGGCGGATCTCAACATCGATGTCGGGATCCGCTCCGGCTGCAGCGTCTCAGTATACCGCGAGCTGTAGCTGTAGCTCGCGGTATACTGAGCTTAGGGTAACGGGAGGACGCTAGTTTGTGTCTTCCCGTTACCCTAAGGAGAACTATGGGGAAAAGCCCTGACCCCATAGTTCTCCTTTAAAGATGATGCACAAGAAAGCCCGCAAACAGTTTGCTGAAGACAAGCAGACTATTGGATTACTGGAACCATGTCCTCTGGTCTGGTGAGACCAAGATAAACGTATTTGGTTCAGATGGTGACAAGTGTGTGTGGCGGCAACCAGGTGAAGAGTACAAAGACAACTGTCTCTTGCCTACAGTCAAGCATGGTGGTGGGAGTGTCATGTTCTGGGGCTGCATGAGTGCTGCCGGCACCGGGGAGTTACAGTTCATTGAGGGAACCATTAATGCCAACATGTACTGTGACATACTGAAGCAGAGCATGATCCTCTCCCTTCGGAGACTGGGCCGCAGGGCAGTATTCCAACATGATAACGACCCCAAACACACCTCCAAGACGACCACTGCCTTGCTAAAGAAGCTGAGGGTAAAGGTGATGGACTGGCCAAGCATGTCTCCAGACCTAAACTAGGGTTGCCACCTGTCCCGGATTCAGCTGGACAGTCCAGGTTTTGAGTCCTGCAAGTTCTGTTTCCGGGTGTAACACAGACACAGCACATGAAGGACTCAAAACCCGGACTGTCCAGGTGAATCCAGGACAGGTGGCAACCCTAACCTAAACCCTATTGAGCATCTGTGGGGCATCCTCAAACGGAAGGTGGAGGAGCGCAAGGTCTGTAACATCCACCAGCTCCGGGATGTCGTCATGGAGGAGTGGAAGAGGACTCCAGTGGAAACCTGTGAAGCTCTGCTGAACTCAATGCCCAAGAGGGTTAAGGCAGTGCTGGAAAATAATGGTGGCCACACAAAATATTGACACTTTGGGCCCAATTTGGACATTTTCACTTAGAGGTGTACTCACTTTTGTTGCCAGCGGTTTAGACATTAATGGCTGTGTGTTGAGTTATTTTTAGGGGACAGAAAATGTACACTGATATACAAGCTGTACACTCACTACTTTACATTGTAGCAAAGTGTCATTTCTTCTGTGTCGTCACATGAAATTATATAATACAATACTTACAAAAATGTGAGGGGTGTACTCACTTCGGTGAGATAGCGTAGGTACATTCACTGCTTCCATTCAAAAATGCATACAATAATATATTCATGAATATAGAGCTGCATTAACTTCCTTTATATCTGCCTAAAATTAAGCTTTAACCTTCCCTACTGTATACAAAACAGGCGGCTGACATTGGGCTTTGAAGAGTAGGTGCACATTTAGATAAAGTGTACTTCATTCTTTTTACCCCACGGCCTAACCAATCCCATGCTCTCCCTCCACAGATCTATACTTACCAGGATCCTGGGGTGTCTGCTCTTCTTTTTGAATGTAGAGTTGCCTTGTCGCACTCCTTACCGTAAAGCCCCAATTCAAATTGGGGCCACACAGGGTCCCCTTCATCAGGTTCAGCAATGACGAGCCTGATGAAGGGGACCCTGTGTGGCTAGTTCTGATGACATGACGTTTCAAAAAGCAAACACTTTGGACTACAATACTCTTGGTGTGCTGGTGCTCTTCTGTTTGTTGACATCCAGCTGCATCCTGGCCATGTCCATCTTCATACTGGGGACTGCCCATAGGAGTCTGTAATGTGCAGGTGTGGCCAGCAGAGGGAGCAATGTGGTGCTGGAATGTAAACAATAGAGCGGCTGTACCCATCAAATCTTGGTAAATTTGGATGGGGGCATTTTAACCAGAAAACACTTTGCTGTGTGCCTTCTTGGTTTAGTTTCACTCCCCTACAACAGGGTGCTGAGCATAGCCACTGTCTATTGAATGTGACCCTACAAACCCCTAAGGTTCTCTCCCTGGATGGAGGGAATGCCCATTGTGCAGGGCTTGGCCCTTACTTACAAAGTGAGACCAGTTTCAGAGAGGCACACAGATAGAATAATAAGATTATACCTGGCTCCTACTATTAGGCAGGACTTTAATTACACAACTCCAAGTTTTTTTTTGCCGTTTTGGGGGAGGGCTAACATTTCTGTAGGTTTTTAACCCGTCTGTTAGTCCATTTGGGTGTTCACTTCCTGTCCTGTGACACCTGGATGCCTCTAGGATTATTAGTCTACAGGAAGGGCCTGACGTCACGGCCAATCCCTGCACAATGTCCATTCCCCCTTCCAATGGGAGTACCATAGTTTTTTATAAAGTCACTCACCAACAAAGTGAGTCTGTCACAGGGGCAGGAATATACAAACATTGCCAGAAGGTTTAACCATTCCTCACTGCACTAAAAATTTATTTTTCTGTTGGTGAGATTTCCCATCACTTCCTGTCTCGACAGGAAGTAAGGATAATTCTCCCCAACAGGCATTCAGTCAGAAATAAAAACTTGACAGAAGTTCTAACTCAGGGGCGGGCAACTCCAGCCGTCCAGCTGTGCTTTAACTGCAAATTCCATCATGCCTCTGCTTATGGGAGTCATGCCTGTGGCTGTCAGAGTCTTGCAATGCCTCATGGGATTTGTAGTTCCACAACGGCTGGCGTTGCCTACTCCTGCTGTAATCCGTCCCTGCTCTATCCAAATGTAATACATTATAGTTTAAAATGGCTGCGAGCTTGTCCTGAAACACTTACATGTGTGATATCATTTATTATTACCATTTCTCAGTCAATGTAAACAACACAAAACTATGACACTATGATAAAAAGAAAACACGTTATAAAGATGTGCGTCAACTTTGTAATTATAAGAAACATAAAATCCCTGTAATTTATCTGTACAAGTAGTGCTGCCCAGCCAATAAATATATACATAAGCACTGTATGTCACAACCAGAGTCCATCCAAAAATCATAACTATTGTTCCCCTCCGATAA